CCGAATGGAGCCCGAGCACCAGGCCCCCGAGAAGCTGAATCCGTCGCAGTGCCTGCCCCACTGTCACAAACTCCCGCACTGTGCTGTGAGCCCGATGTACGGACAGCCCCCAGTGTCCCTGGGCGGACTGGTGAACACTGGTCACAAAGCCCCAACTGAGAGACAAGGCATCCATGAACACATCAAGCGAGGGAAGAGGAAGGCGCCATGGAACCGAACCCCAAAAACCTGAAGAGGAAGCCAGAGATGCAGCAAACCAATGCAAGGACACCGGGGACAAACCCAGGGATCGTGAGAGCGGTGAGAGACCACCCCGAAGATACCAGAACAGCCTCCGAAACCAAACCCTGCCCAGTGGATAAACTAGCAAGGCAAAGTTTATGCTCTCACACAGCAGCTTGAGCAACTGCTGGGTCTTCCTCAAAACAGCCAAAGGCGGGAACACAACCAGAGCAAAGCCGCCAAAGGGAGAGAAACGTACGCAGTTCGAGAACCTCACACTAAGCCCAGCCAAGGCTGAACCCCGGGACGGAACCAACTGGGACTTCTGCCAAGTAACCAGGAACCCGAACCCGGCAAGCTGGGAAAAAACCAGAATCCCGGCTAGCAGACAAGCAGACCAGCAGGGAGCTCACATCAACCAGTTGTCGAGGCAGACTGCCAGCCAGGAACACACCAGAACATCATAATGCACCCGATCAGTGTAAGAGGAACTGAACTCAAAACAAAACTGGAACCAACAGAGGCATAAACCAGGTCTTGCAGGTGATACACACCTAGGGTCTCCAAAACCTTCCCAGGGGAAAGCCAAGGGCATCCGGAAATTAACTGCATGGGAGGGGAAGGGTTTGATCCCTACCTACCGCATTTGCCGGCGGATAAGAGGCACAATGTGTAATAAAAATGTTTTGTTCTTGGATAAAAATGAGCCCCACACCTAAAATACTGAGCACCTAAGGCTAGGGAGACGGATGAGCAGACCAGACAAGGTCACTGGGCACAAAATTGGTGCCAAGAATAAAATAAAGAAAACAAGCCAATGACCAAAGTCTGAACACAAGACTAAGGTAATAATAAACAGAAGTACCACAGTCTTGTACACAAGACAAGACTGCCCTGGGAACACAAGTCCGGGAGACATGACCACCATCTACAATTCCTCAGGGGAATGGACAGGGTAGAAAAAGATGGATGAATCAATACGACTGGAACACCCATAATGGGATACAGGTGGAAGCCGAATACCCAAAGGAACCACAGACATCAGAAAAAATATGTCTCATGGCAGAGTAGTAAGGAAAGGGAATGCAGAAGGCAGTGAAGTGGTGGAGGCTGACACCCTACATAAGATCAAACTTACAGACGCAGGAGCTCGAGAAGCTCAGGAATGTGTACACCTGAAGACACAATAAACAAACTGGCAGCCAGAGAGAATCGTCAGCCACTGTGTGTGTGTAAACTGCACCCTCCCCAGTGCACCCCGTCCAGCCAATAACACTCCTCACCCGGATCAAGACGGAAACACCAAGGGCGAAGACAATGCCAAGTGACAAAATCCTCAAATGGGAGCGAGTTCTGAATGCCCCGGGAAATAGATAACCCTGAAATCCAAGGGTATTGCTTACAGAGCACCTAGGGAAGAACACCCTAGGTGCATACAATAAGACACCTGGCCACCACACCACACATACACACTGCTGGTACAGCCATACAGGGCAAAATCCAGAACAGGAATGTGAGGCCAGAGGTGATCAAGCTGACTCTAGCACATCAGTTCAAGAATTGAAGGGAGGCTGCCGGCTGCCCCCTCTGTCCCTTTGGGGGAAGGAGTCGCACTAACGAGCGGGAGTGCTAGTTGGTTGAAGTGTTGCTCATTTTTTTTCTGGGAGAAGTTCTGCCACGTTCAGACGTAGGTCGCAATTTTCATCAGAGTGTGGTCCATTTTGTTTCTCCTATCTTTCTGGGTGCTTCCCTGGTCCATGGCAGTTACGAAATACTTTAAATATAAAGTGTTCTGAGGTCATTGGTGCCTGCGCCTTTCTGAGGGAGCCAGGTTCTGGCTCACGGTTCCCGGTAGGCATAAAGACTTCTGTGACTGATGACCCCAAAATAATATAGCACACATCAGTTCGGTTATCTACAGGGAGCCGACGGGGCTCTCCACAGAAAATATGAATTTTTAAAAATTCACAAAAGAAAGCATCTTATTTATTTAAGTTCAGGAGGAATGTGTATTTAACTTCTTCATTTAAAAAATAGCATTTGACCAGTTTATGCAGTAATCACCTACAATATGTTACATGTAATGATTTGTAATCATTTTTGGTTGGCAAATTCCATTTATTCACACAGATTTTATGAAATGATAAAATATGCGACTTAAAAAATATTGTGCACGGCCAAAACGAAGGTACATTTACGGTTACTTGCACTCGGTAACAGCAGTATTTTTCAGGTACTGTATACTATTCTGTACAATATTATACAACAAAATATATATATGACAAAATACTTAAGCAACAAATTCCAAACCAGTATATTCTGACCATTATGTTTTGATGTATATCAGTAAACAATGTGGAAAATCAGATTAGTAAGTTCAGAAAAGATAGTTCTTGTAAACTGCACTTTTTTTTAGGCTTATCTAGTATCATCATTGATAAAACTCAATGAGACACCCAGCCCACAACTCTGAAAATAAAAGAATTGATGACGCTTCAGTCCATCCTGAACCATTAATAAGTTAGTTTGATATTGGTCCCGGATGGGCCAAATTATCATCAAATTCTATTTTCAAAGTTGCACATTGAGTGTCTAATTTTCAGTCAAGTTATTGTGACTTATTCTGTAAAATTCAATGAGTATTTTATCATTTTCTAATAAAAATTCAAGCATTTCTCCTGGTGTGGTGTTCTTCTTCATTTCTTCTTGACTCTTGGCCAACTTTAATATATTTTCTTCACCCTCTGCTCATTTTGAGAGTACTGTATATAAAGGTTGGACACATTGGACTAGTTAAATAACTTTTGGTATTATGCCTATATTAATAGGTGCCAATTAGGGGACATATTTAAGCAAAGCCTGAAACATTGTATTATTACCTTCTACCCATTATGAATTTACTTTGCATTTCCTCCACCTCTAAATGCACTTCTCTCAGAAATGAAGCTGGGCAGGGAAAACATGAGCTACATTCCCACTAAATAAAGGTTATTCATCTTTTACTTTTCAGTAATAACCAAATTCTTACATTTACATTCCTGGTTTTAACTGGAAAAAGTAATGGCACTAATACTGTAGCAGTACATTTGCCAGTGTTTAACAGGGTGTATAGTCCTATGACGGCATCTTACAGTTTCAAATTAGTAAGAGTCTGTTGTATTACTGAACACTGCATGGTTAAGATGGTTCAAGCTTCAAATACCTGAATCAGTGAGTAACTCACCCACTGATTCTGAGTAACTTGTATATCAGTGAGTAATTTGTCTATTTAACTAGAAGTTGTGAAGAAAAAGTTGGTGTGTCAGTCAGAGTTACCTAGGAGAATGCCGAGGTTAAAACAGGTTGGTGTGGTTAATTAACACTACACACGACCAAACTACACACACTATCACCAGTTATAAGACACTAATCAACACAAACTATCGTGTAAATAATACTCAGAAAAAGGCAATAAAACCCGTTAACAAACAATACCTATATACAGTACTAACATCTGGTAATTATACAGATTACTAATATCATTCAACGGACAAAAAATAATTTCATGAGGTATTCAAAAAATGTAAAAAATATGCTGAAGCAATTCATGCTTCCAAGATTTAAGAATTATCATCATCATATTAAAAAATCAAAAGGAAATATATTCATTCAATTAATTAGAAAGATGTAATAACTAAAACATCTAATCAATCAAAGGAATGGATATATCCCTATAAACATCAAATTGCTCAAGTTCTTAATAATAAAATAATATTATCAACAAAATTTGTGACAAGATAATACATTATATTGAAAAGACACAATACCAAGGCCTTAAGAATATGTTGACTAGATGTTCATGCTAAACCAGACTAGTTCTACACAGTACACTGATCCATTTCTCAACATTAAAACAGACAAAAAAAAAAGTGATGTAGTGCTTTTTAATGACATTAAATTAGCAACCATTAATACAAACACCCATAGCCAAGCTTATCATGAATATGGATGCAGGAGTGCAGAGTGGTAAAGTTTGCCAGTCCCATTATAAACTTAAAAATGCCATTTTAAACCATAGCGGAGTCCCAACTCTTCTTTGAGTACAGTACACAAATGTTCCATTAAGAAAAGCCTCTAATGCAGAGGTTAGTTTTGGATGCAAACTCTGGTCCTCATTTTTGGCACAGGTGATTAAGTCGAAAGCTTTCATAAGAGCCAACTAGGTACAAAAAGTAAGCAACTGGCAAAGATACTCTCATCCCACAAATTCCCAGCAGTACACTAGGGAAAAAAGCCTTTACTGAGATACCATTTAATATAAAATACTTATTGCTGCAAATCTAAGTGCTTCAGTCCCTAAATGAAATACAAGTGAACAACAATCAAGATGGGAACTATTAACAACGTTTCCTTAATAAATAATAGAGAGAAACAACTTGTTGGTGCACTACAGATATTCATTAACAAAGAGAATGCAGGCCAGGCATGCTGAGTGGACAGGCCTGGTGGACGAATCAAGACCGACCAGGTTGGCTCGGGAACTGGGACAGGCATTCGGTGGACTGGGAGGGCTGGGTGGGTAGGCTCACATGTGGATCATTTGAGTGGGAAGGTTGAGTAGGTTTAATGGCCGGACGAGTCCCACATCCTCAGTGAGTTGGAGCAGTGAGACAAGCAGGGTGGACCTGTATCATAATTGTAGGTGACGTAGCAAGACGTTTTGGGGCTGGGAGGGCGAGGGCAGAGGACCGGGGGGGACGGAGGACATGAGAGGGTGACGGTGAGCCATCTTCGCTTACCTGTGCTTGGTGTCTAGAACTTTGGATAAATCCTTGTTGCTTATCTCACTCTCACGCACTTGTTCTGTTAAACTTTTATGGACCGAGTTATGTAAACTGAAATAAAAAAGTAAAGTTAATAAATCATATTTTTTAAAGAATATGCACCTAACTCTGATTACAGAACCCTAGCTACCCTTAATCCCAAACAAAATTATTAAAACGAACTTTCATATTTATATTTACCAACAAGTATCTTGTAAATATTATGCAGTACCCTTGTGATCATTTCATTATCAATTTTTGCTTTACAAAACAAATTATTACTATTAGGTGCTATCACTATACTGTATATATAATAACTCGGACTCACGTTTTAACTGCGATATCAAGCAGGAGGCAAGTCAAGGGTATCAGAATCACTCCAAACCAAAACACAGGTGAAGAATATACCTGAAATTGTTTTAAATTGTATATATCAGCCACTTTAAAAAATCCCAGGTTTTATGTTTTCTTACTGTTTACAGAAATACAGTGGCACCTCTACTTATGATTGCCCCGACTTACGATATAAATTTGATTGGAAAATGCAACTCAACTTACGATATCGTCGTCGATTAACGATATTTGTTGATACACGTTTGGGTCGACGGAGCGCATGGTTCCCAGTCGCACGAGCCAACCTGCCTCAGTTTACTAGAGCCGCCCACTTAGTGACAATGACGCTTATAAAAAACCAGCGTTGAATGTAATGAAACGCCATATTCTGGGTGAGCCCCGGAGGCTCCCTGGAGCTTATCGGGCTAATGTGTGTTATGTTAGACCGGGACATTAGCTAAGGAGTTCAGACCTACCAGGGACCAGCGCCAGAACCTGGCCCCTTCAGAGAGGTTTCAGGGAGCAATGGCCCTGGAAAACCCCATATGGTTGGGGGTTTTCCTTATCTGCCATCGACCGGGGTTAGGCACCCAGAAAGGTAGGCGTAACAAAACAAACCCCACATGGTAAGAAACTACAACAAAAACCGAACAGAGAGGTAGAAAACTCCCTACAATCCCAAGGAAACAAGCAAACAAGCAAACATCACACTTTACTGCCGCGCCGATCGTCCGCGCAGCCCTCCCCACCCCGGGAGGGGGAGGGGGGAGCCCCGGACCTACCGCGCCGGCTGCCAAGCTCCAGTTCGGAAGCTAAGCCTCAACCAACGCGAAAAAACCGCCGACCGGTGGGAGGGAGGGTTTCCAGGGAGCCTCCGGGGCTCACCCAGAAAATGGCGTTTCATTACATTCAACGCTGGTTTTCTGTGGGGAGCCCCTACGGCTCCCTGGAGCTTCATACCCAAAGAGAAGGAAAAGAAAGGGCTAACCCGGGAGGCGGCCGCCACAAACTCTGCAACGCAAAGCCAAGACAACCGGTCGCAAACCTGCGACCCAAGGCAACAAGAACGCCCAAGAACAGACGCACACATGGATGGGCGGCCAAAAATCTGTGCGACCCACAATTCCCTGCACCCGAAATGAGCCCGAGACGTCACCAACACAGCAGCAATTGCTGCAAACGTCTGAACAGCACGGGCGCAAAGACAGACCGCAGTAAGAAGGAAAACACTGCGGACGACCCGGGAGACCCGAGCCCTGAAAACAGGGAACGAAGGAACCGGATCAACCACAGCGCATCCCCAGGCACGGTACGCCGGCAACAGCAAAAAGCACAACTGGACAACACAGGACGCACCCCCCCGCCAAACCAAACAAGTACTAATACCCCAAGAACCCCTCCGGAAAGCAGCCGTCTCGACCGTCGCCAGGACAGAGAAAGGCTGCACACCAATAAAGCTACCACCAGTACCAAAGAGGAGGAAACTAAAACCGAAGGGGCTACCACAAACTGAGGGGAAGAGGAGAAGGCACCCTGAACAAGGACCAGGATGGCTCAGGCGACTCATGAGCAGGCCGGAGGGGAAACAAAACGCGAGAAGACGTAAGAAACGTCATACAGTCTCCAAGACGAAGCTCGCAGGTGGGACACCGTCAACAAGGCCACCTGAACACCATAGAGATGGCGATACCTGCGTCAAAATACCAGACGCGAAGAGCCAAAGAGAAGGCCGAACCAGTCACGGACAGGACCGATTCGGCCTGCTGAAAGAGGCGAAGCCTCAGGAAAAACGCCCCGGGTACGGACACCTATCAAGCAGCGTCTGAAAAGAAGGCCGGGCCGGCCACAGTGGAACCATAAGGACTGTTCTCGTGGGAATGGGCTGCAACTGAGCCAGAACCCGGAGCAACAGCTGGACCGGGAGAAGAGGTACAGGTACCCCCCACCTCGACCAGGCCTGCCGAAAGCCTCCACCGTGAAGTCCTCGCAGGTGGGAAGGGCGCCACAAAACGGGCGACGCCTAGACCACGCCGACCCGAAGACGTCCATGGCCAGGAGTCCATAAGCCCAACAGAGCCAACAAAACGAATCGGCGACGACTGGCCAACCCACGAAGAGGAATGAACCGAGACAGCTGTCCACCAGGACGCAGGACACACCCCGGACACGAACCACACGATTAACCAAACCCCCTGTGGTTCCGGCAAGAACCACCAGAGAACAGTCCAAACAGAGCTGAATGGTAGAGTACCTAGTGACCCAAATCCTCCGAAGCGCAAACCAGACAGCCATGAACACCTGAACCGGTCTGTGAGCCCGATGGACAGACAGACTCCATCAACCTCGGCCGACCTGGTGAGCACTGGTCACAAAGCCCCAGCCGAGAGACGACCCGTCCGTGAACACATCGAGCGAAGGCTCGGGGAGCTGCCAAGGCACGGAACCCCGAAAACCCCAAAGAGGAAGCTGGTGACGCAGCACCAACACCAGATCCCCAGAGGAACCCAAGGAATGCAAGAGGCGGAAGTGGAGTCTCCGTAGGAACCAACCGACGCCGGAGCCAAACCCGACTCCGCGGGCAGACAAGCACGCCGAAGTGCAAACTCCCGCACAACCGCCCAAGCAACCGCTGAGCAACCTGGGACCCCCTCCTGAACAGCCAAAGGCGGGACCACAGCCACAGCAACACTTCTGGAGGGAAGACAATGAGGGGCCCAAGAGCCTGAAACAAGGCCCAGGTCCGAACCCGGGACGGAAACAGAAGGTAAAACCTCCAGATCACCAGGAAACCAAACCCAGCGATCTGGAAAGAACCATCCCCTGGCGAGCAGACAAGCGGACTGACTGGGAGCCCACTCCAGCCAGTCGTCGAGGTAGGCCAGACACCGAATCTCAGACGCAGACAGGGCACTAAGATCCGGTAAAGATGCAAAGAGTATACAAAGTGCCCTTCACAAAATAGGGAATGCAATAAAAACAGCAAACCTGAAGCCCCACCACCAAAGCATTGTATGACAATCATATGAAGACACATTATGACATATGACAATCATTATATGACAATATGACAATTATAATCAAAGCATTATATGACAAAGAGTGCTGGGAAGACGGGACACCACGAGAGTAGCTCTCATCCTGTAACTACACTTAGGTAAGTACACATAGGTAAGTACCAACCGTGCTAGCCCCAGAAAAACTGGAGAGGAACGTGCCAAGAAGTGACCTGGAGGTCCAGGTCCACCATCCATGCACCCGGCCCTAACAGAATCCGAACAGGAGACAACAGTCCTCCGAGCAGGGCAGAGGATCCAGGGCGCAGACGGAAGTAGTCCAGAAGAACTGCAGACTGGAAAAGCTCATGACTGCAAAGAGCAGACGGGAAAAGCTCATGACTGCAAAGAGCAGACGGGAAGCCCAGAAGGATGGGGCGGATCGACCACGCCCCACGCACCCACGAAGAGGAAATGACGAAGCGCAGGGAAGAAGCCCACCCCGCCAGCTCTGAACCCCCCCCAAGGGGGAGAAGCCGTCCTCCGACGCCAGCAGAGGCCGGAAGACAACCCAAAGCGCCCACCAACAGCGGGACCAAGCGAGAGGCAACAGAGCAAGCTGCTCCCCCAGCGCCCAGTCAACAGAGAAGGGAACAGAACCCCTTCAGAAAGAAAAAGTACACTACCGAAGTCATGAGGAGAGACTACGGGAATGAAACCACACTTCGCTGGAAGAGGAAGTGAGGGGAGACCTGATCACCACATACAAGATACCCAAGGGAATCGACAGGGCTGAGAAGGACAGGATATGTAACACAAGGGGCACACGCACTAGGGGACACCGGTGGAAACTGAGTACCCAAAAGAGCCACAGATAGAATTAGTTTTTTTTTTTTTTTTTTTTTTTTTTAGTTTTTGCGAGTGTCAGAATGGGAACGGGAAAGCACTAAGAAGTAATGTGGCGACTCCTCACACAAGGAACGAGGCTGACCCCCATACAATGTCACATGTAGACATGACAGAGCCCAAGAGGCACAGGAACCGATACACCTGTTGATGGATGGTTGAGAGGCAGGACCAAGGAGCCAGAGCTCAACCCCCACAAGCACAACTAGGTGAGGACATATAGTGTAAAAGCACAAGCCGCCGACTAGTGGCAAAGAGCACTACGCCGGCCAGGCAAAGAAGGCACAAAACTGCATCAAAAGGCCCACCTCGACAGCAAAACCACAAAGTCCCAGCACAACCACAACATGTGCCAAGACCCAAAAAGCTCAGTCTGCAAGCCAGGAAGACCCCGGAACCCCAAAAGGCAGAACCGGGTCACATGAGGAAACAAAGTCCCCTGAACCCACAAAATGGGGCCCAAGAGGAAGAAACCTCCAGAACGAAACCAAGGAACCCAAAGGAACCCAGAATCGAACCAGGGGGAGCCCAAACCACCACATTTGCCAGCGGAGAACACCACTAAAAGGCAAAGCACAGACCCCAGCAGAACGCCCTGGGAAAACGGTCCCAACAGACCGAAAACCGAGGGGCAAGGTGTGGGAGCAAGCATACCAGCCAGGGGCACTGAGCCTAAACCCAGAGGCTCAGACCCAAAATCAACACCCAAACGTTCCCAGAGGAACAGGCAACGGCAAGAAAACACCAGAAAAACAAAGAAACGACAACAGGAGAACAAAAACCCTGCAAATTTTGTGAAAACTCAGAGACGCTCGCTCGCACACCCAGACGCATGTAAACAAATCGCAACGCCGCCCTGGTGGCCACGCCGGGAAACCGGCAGACAAAAATGGCCGCCTGCAGGGGCTGTGACTGACGCTTAATACACAAAAACACGCCAGCAAATGTGGGAAGCTAGCAGACTGGAAGGGCGAAAAACGACGCCCAACAGCAGAAAAACCCCTGAAGGGGCAAAACCGCCCCAGAACTGCTAGGAGGCATCCCCCACAGCCCCGGGAACCAACAACAGAGGCCCCGGGGCAGAGCCGTCCTCCAAGCCCTCCGCCCTGAAAGAAAAGCAAGAGCCCATGGGAAAGGCAACAAGAAAGGGCCGCTGGTAAGACCCAGAAGCCTTGGCAGGAGGCACAGGCTCAAACCTCCATCCCCAACCCGAACGGGGCATCCCCCGAAAACCGCCTGAGTCTCTGCCGCAACTGAACCCCGCCCCGACCCAGAAACACGCAGACGGTCCGGAGCCGGGAACATGGAGAGAAAGGGGCGAGCAGCACCTAACCAAACGGGGCGGCCACGGGGCATTCGAGTGGGAAACCAACCTAGCATGTTGCAGCAACCTAACCTAGCTTGCAACACGGATGCCGCCTGTACTCTGAACAGTAATAACATCAGGAGAGTACTGGAGAACAAGCAGAGAATCACTCGCAAGACTCCGGGTCAAGGTGTCAGTGACCCAACAGGCAGCATGACGGAGGTAAAAATGGCGACTGTCACCCGGAGACAAGGGAACAGCAACCAACGATCCCGTACAAGACGGGTTGGAACCCGGAAGACACATTCAATGGTCCCCCGAGCCCAGACAGGGGTTTCCAGGGCCCGTAGGGTAACAACTACGGGAAGCCCGGGCAAGGTGTTGCTAACCGGTTAAGAAACCCAAACATAACAAGAGGGTAGATTATAGCACTGAAAACCCCTCGAGACGTGTACAAGCACGGGGGCCTAGCAGAGGGCCGCCAAACACTACCAGTGGAACTATAACCACCTTAGGCAGACCCCCACCAGGCAAGAAAATGAAAAACAAAAGAAAAACCCCGCAAAAGTACACCGTCTCCAGAGGCAACAGAAACCGGCCGCCGCTTAGGTGGCAGGCTGCGCAACACCTTGACGCCCTAACCAGCACAATACCAATCCCGACCCAGGGCCAAACAAGGGCCCCAAGCCCCAGCTGGCCCCAAGGGCGAGGCAAATGCCGAGCAGCAAGAACCTCTACGGGAATGGTACCCGAACGCCCCAGGGAAGATAACCCTGTAACGCAAGGGCAGTACTTACAGGGCGCTTAGGGAAGTCAGCCACTAAGCACATGCAGCCCCGGCACTGATGAAGTACTCCTGGCCACCGCACACCACAACACACGGCAGTGAACGCCACACAAGGCAAACACCGCCTAGGAAACTGAGGCCAGAGAAGCGTCAATCCCGGTTGACATTAGCGAACGAACTGGAGCTTGGCAGCCGGCGCGGTAGGTCCGGGGCTCCCCCCTCCCACTCCCGGGGTGGGGAGGGCTGCGCGGACGATCGGCGCGGCAGTAAAGTGTGATGTTTGCTTGTTTGCTTGTTTCCTTGGGATTGTAGGGAGTTTTCTACCTCTCTGTTCGGTTTTTGTTGTAGTTTCTTACCATGTGGGGTTTGTTTTGTTACGCCTACCTTTCTGGGTGCCTAACCCCGGTCGATGGCAGATAAGGAAAACCCCCAACCATATGGGGTTTTCCAGGGCCATTGCTCCCTGAAACCTCTCTGAAGGGGCCAGGTTCTGGCGCTGGTCCCTGGTAGGTCTGAACTCCTTAGCTAATGTCCCGGTCTAACATAACACACATTAGCCCGATAAGCTCCAGGGAGCCGTAGGGGCTCCCCACAGAAAATTCCATTTTTGGTGATTTTTTTGCTTTTTGAACATAAAACTGATTACTATATATCATGCCCAGAGTCCCAAGAATAGTCAGTGGTAAGGTTCAACATATGAAAACACATTTGAGGATGACCATAGAGGCAGTACAGAATATTCCTTCCTCAAAAATTAAGAAAATGTGTGCAGCATGGGAAGAACTGTAAACTTTTGATGAAACGACTCGCCCAAATCAAGCTGCAGTAGGCAGTTGCTCTAACCTTTTCAATGACACTGATATATCACTATAGACAAATGTTAAAACGAAAGGAAAAACAAGTGTTGCTAGACAATTTTTTAGGGAGACAAACTAGCAGTGAACGACAATCAGGTCCTAGTGGTATGCAGGCAAAACATAGGAGAGAGTGTACCCCAGAGAAATCATCACTACCTGATGTTATAATGGAAGGGGACTCCCCTTCCAAACAGTAACACCTCTCCTCAACCCCCTCCTCACCATATTCCGTACAATAACAGGAGTCATCAGTAAAAGGTAAGTAATAACTTGCACATACTTTTGTAATGAAGATTTCGGTGAATTAGGTATAAAATTTACTTTGAAGTTAATTATTTAGGGAGTCAGGAACGGATTAATTCATTTCCCCTTTATTTCTTATGGGAAAAATCGTTTTGACTTATGATATTTCGACTTACGATACGTCTCTGGGAACGGATTACCATCGTAAATCGAGGCCCCACTGTAATCACCTTCAACCAAGTCCTGATGCCTAACCTGTTCCTACTGCAGCTGTGAATACTTGACTGCTTGTGACCGGTCTTGACTGTGAATGCTTGACTGACTTCTTGTGACTATATATGACTGGCTGCCACATAACAGTGAAATGTGTGAAAATCTGGAACCAGTGATGCTGACATGAAAGCATTTAAGGCGAGCAGGGGATGGTCTGATGTTATATTGGAAAGCAACCTCCTCCTTCTAAATACTCACCTCCTCCCTCCCTCATCACCCTCCCAATACGCCTACACCACCCCTCCTCCCTCCCTCCCTTCTTACCGTCTCCCATACGCCAATAAGAGTCCTCAGTACAGTAAAGGTAAAGTGCAGTTAAATGTTCACTTATTTGATTTATGGTTTGTATTTATACCCGATTGTTTTGTGCTTGAAAAATATGAGTAATATTCTGTATAAAATGAATTTTAAAGTTAATATTTTTTGGGGATGTTGAACAGATTAATTCAATTTCCATTATTTCTAATGAGAAAATTTATTTCGGTTTATGAATTTTAGGTGCACGAACTGTCTCTTGGAACAGGTTAAATTCATAAACCAAGGTGCCACTGTATATAATAAATAAATACATACCTGTACATACACATACTATACATACATTTTTATTTTGAATAAGATGAAATGAACATAGCGTGTGTGTAATTTATCATTACTATATCTTATAATTAGTGACCCAAGTTATAATTACCTCTAAGACCCGTTTTAGCTAAATACTGACAATGTCTTGGGTCAGACTTCATTGAGACTTGACAAAAACATTTTAACATGAGAAACAGTTTGAGTCCATGTTCTGAAACTATTATTCATTCCCTTTACAGAGACGATTACATTACATCCAATACGCAGACTATGTTTTACCTGCAGATAAATAGCACACATGTCTGGAGCCATTGGTATTATAGGCCAGAAGTTTGAATACACCAGCAGGAATATGAACCAAGAAGCAATAGATCCCCAGATGGCGAGGTGTGTCACCCAAGTCCACGCGTCGGTTTCTAAACCTGCTTTAAGGCAGACGGTAATAACTACGTAAGTGTACACCATATTTCCCGTCATGAGGTAACCTCCTACGCGGCCATGACCCCACGCCACATCTTGCGTCATGGACAGGTACGGTAGAACAAATACCAACACTGAGTGTACGAGTGCCAGCCACACCCACCACACAAAAACCTGCCGAAGATAATACAAGGTGTAACACGTGGATTACTAACTACTGTAATATCAAGTGACGTACTAAATTATGTATTTATGATTAAAAATTTTAATAAAAGAATGTTAATAGAAACTTTATCAAGAACTCTTCTAACATCTTAAAATGTATTTTGAGATTCAAGCAGTGTTTGAGATTCAAGCTAGCAGATTCAAGATTCAAGCATGAGGAATGCTAAGTATTGTGTTCTGTTAAATATTTTGAACTGCCAGTTGCACAAGAATTATAATAATTAGACTTTTAAGGAATATGAGAAGCTCCTTTGTGATTAAGAAACTCTGGTGCTTCTCAGGTAAACATGACCAAAAATCTCATTTGTACAGGATCCTGATCGCCCAGGAAAGGCAACATTCTGCACCAAAGCAACAGGGACTCTTTCAAACATTCCAGTCAAAATGTACTGGTGTAGAGGCCACAGGGGAGAGTAGATCAATCCTGTTCAGATTGACAACACTAATTTTACACACACAAAAAAAAAACAGCGTTGAATGTAATGAAACACCATTTTCTGGGTAGAGCCCTGGAGGCTCCCTGCAGCTATTGAACTGATACTAGCTAATATTAGTACAGGGCTTCAGTCATATAGAGTTGTCATGCTTAGTGGGGACCACCAGCCAGAACATGGTCCCCTCAGAGAAGCAAAGGGAACAATGGCCTATGAAAATCATGTATGAAAGTACAGTATTCATGTCTGCCATCGACCGGGGTCGAGTACCCAGAAAGGTAGGCACTTCAAAACAGACCCCTCCTGTAGAAAAATTGCAACCCGAGACCGAAGAGAGGCTGGAAACTCCCACAAAGAAAACAAGTTAACAAACAACACGTCATACCACCACGTGCTGCTCATTTGTGCCGACCCTCCAACCAGGAAATCATCAAATCATCATCTCAAGATAAGGAGGGGAGGGAAAAGGGGGAAGCCCAGCCCACCGAGCCAGCAGCCGGACCATCAGTTTGGAGACAGAAAATGAAAACAAAAACCTGCTGACCTGGGGAAGGAAGGGTGCCAAGGAGCCTCCTGGGCTCTACCCAGAAAATGGAGTTTCATTCCAGGAAGCCCCATTGGCTCCCTGGAGCTAACTACCCAAAGAGCAGAAAAAGACAACTGGATGCAACCTCCGACTTCAAGGTGCCACAAGATCGCTAAGGGCCTGGCACATTAACAAGATATCGGGCAGTCAGGACCCTGTTTTATCTCCAAAACCCCCGCACCTGAATGACTGCCCAAAACATATTGCCAAACACAGCAGCCAAAGCTGCAAACTTATGAACATCATGGGTGTGAGGGTAGACCGCAGAATACCTAGACTTTATAACCCTGCGGATGATTTGAGAAATCAAAGCCTTGGAACAGGGAACGAGAGAAACCAGGTCATCCCAAAGCGCATCCCCGGACAAAGAAGCCGAGGCACATAGGTACAGCATAAAGCCACAACCGGACACAAAACATGATGCACACCCCGGCCTGACCAACCAAGCATCAATACCTCACGTACCCCTCCGGAAGCCCGCCGTCTTGTTCTTTGCCAGCAAAGAAGGTTACAGCAGACAACGAACAAAAAGTCCACCCACACCAAAAGAGCAAAAGCCTCTGTTGTGCTGGAGGAGAACAGGAAGCTTCCTGACCCGACCCCCAGAAGCCAAAGCCAACAAGAACAAAGCAATCTGGAAACAGTCTTGGACTGAAGAGACCACCACAAACCAAGGAGGAGAGAGAAAGGAGTGCACCCGGTCCAAAGACCAGGTTAGCTCAGGCGGCACATGAGCAGCCCGGAGGTGGAAAAAGGCAAAAGAAAGCTTGCGAAACGGAGCCGAAGTGACGTCCACCCTGAATGCAAACTGGAGCGGCTCCACAAGCGCTGCACAATGCGAAGCGACAGTATTTGGCGTAAGATGCCCATCCTGAAAGAGTCAAGAGAGAGAAAGCATCCAGAAAGACGTGAACCAATATAGACCACTGCTGGATTCAAAGAGTCCAATACCTTTGGAGTTCTGTTCACTTGTTTTACTTTTAGTAGTAGTTTCAACCAGAATAGGGGTTTGTTTTGGGATGCTTACCTTTCTGGATGCCTGACCAGGACGATGACAGACATAGAATGCTCCAAATCACATGTGCATTTCTAGAGGTCATTGCTCCTCGTGCCTCTTTGAGAGTGCCAGGTTCTGGCTCGTGATCCCCAGTAGGCCTAAAAACTTCATTTACACTGACTGATGCCAAAGTCTAACATATCTATATCAGCCTGGATAAGCTCCCGAGAGCCAAAGGAGCTCCCCCCAGAAAATATATTAGAAATATACAAGTAATTCTTACAAGATATGCAGATCTCTCACCTTCCAATTAAAATGTGCTCCACTTTGAGATTCCCGATATAGCTCTGGATACCTCATCCTCGTGTCTGCACTGCATGACCGGTCGAAAATCCCCATAACCAGGGGTGGTGCTGCTGTGAACAGCTAGTTAAAAAAGAAATGATAATAACATTTATATGACAGCATATTTTCCTTTAAAATATTTAGAATAATCACAAATATTAAATAATTCAATACAAGATTTAACATCCTTATTATTATTACCCTGTTTCCAGTTTTCTTTGGAAGGGAAGACAGCAGAGAAGACAGCCTAGACAGCTTAATATCTTTTTAAGGTAAAGATATTAAAATGTAACATAACCATTCCCTACATATAACATAGCAGACAAAATCATGGAGAGTCAGTACCACCACACCAGGAAATTATCTTTTAGTCGTAGGTCCTCCTCAACCGTGCCACAAGTCTGGAAGGTTTTATTGTTCCAAACACCCCCCTTGACGGGTTGCAGTGTTAAGGAAACTTGGCTTTGACTAAGATGTCCCTCAGTGATCTGCCTTTGATCCATGCAACCACTGCAGGTAGTTGTGGGAAGATTCGCCACACTAGGTGTTCTACATCAATGATTCTATGCCAATGCCATAAGGTGAGGCATTCTTGACAAAAAGTTCCTGCTATACCTGGAAAGTAGAGGAGAGGAAGGATTATCCTCTCATTCATGTTTTGTCCCGTGTTCTATTCAGGAGGTTGTCCGTTTTTTGGGGGGCTTAGTTTGTGCAGAATGAAGAATCTCCTCTGGGTACTCTCTGTTCCTGAAACGAGTCCACAAGTATTCCAAGGCTTCCTAAAGTTTGTCGTTACTACTGATGATCCACTTTGTACATATACCCAAGGAATAGAGTAGCAATTTCTTGAGCGATAGAGGTTGACTATGAGAAATGAAGTCAATGAAGTGTGTAGATTTGTCGGCTTGTGGTAGATTGTGGTCTGTAGGCATCTACAGTACTTGGTTCTTCAATGTAAACTCTGGTGTCCAGGAATGAAAGTGGATTCATCCATTTCTAGGATGAACAAGTTTTCAAGTACATAATTAGCCCAGTTGAAGAAGAGTTCTAATTCTTGTCATCCTCCAGACATCACTCCGAAAATATCATCTATGTAATGTAAGTAGATGATTAGATCCTGCTCTCGCTGCATGCCTGGCTGATTCAAACTGTGTGTAGACAAAAATCTCTGCTATAGCCACACTAGTTGGGGGGACCCCAACTAGGCCAATTGATTGGATATGTACACACTGTTGACCCCTCTCCATCTTCTCCCAGAACTCTTGAATGATAGTGGATTTTTTTTAAGGAGGATCCAACCAGTTACAGGGCCCATACTAAAGGGAGCAACCTTGTTTTCCTTAGATGTAGTCTCTCTTTACCTTAGCATACCACAGAGAGAAGCAGCCAGGAGAGTAGCAGAATTTTTTGACGCCAACAAACATAGGATCAAGCAGGACTTCGAACAACAGGCATCTTCAGGCCCTTGATCAAGGAACTCCTGGAGGAAGCCATCCTCTATGCAATGAGGGATACCCTCCTAACCTTTGATAACAGAACTTTTTGACAAATTAAGGGCACAGCTATTGGAGCATCAGTAGTACTCACCTATTTGTGCTTGCGAGGATTGAACCATTGTGCAATTGAACCATTATTCCAGCGAAGTCCTTGTAAATAAACCCCATTTGTGAAACTTTAACAGAAGGTGTGACTATTGCAAATCTTAAGACTGAGACACAGAAACTTTATTTCTATTTTATTATTTTATATGGTTCAAATACTTCCTTCTATTATTTATAAGAAAGTAAGGACGGGTTTCAAAAGACCGTTTTCTAGGGTATACTGTAGCTTACAAGCTCATGCCCTTGCACTGAAAAATTAAAAAGATTAACATTCAGCCAAACAAGAAATTCTGTCACTGTGCTCAGCTGTACAAATGCTAAATGGCAAGTGAATGTATGTTATTTTCTTCTTATCTTATTCTAGTTTACTTCTGTATTTTTTGGTTCACATTATCTACTGAAAGTCAGCTGGGCATGACATGTGAACACGAGACAAGGAAAGGGGTGTCTCACGTCAGGTGGCCTTAGTTACTGTCAGTACTTCCCATATCAAATATTCCTATAACTCTGCTGTTATACAGACGATGAGTCACAATAACATGGCTGAAGAAATGATGACCATTTTCTTTAATGAAGAAATGGTTTGGTCATCACCTCTGCTGTTATATTTTCTTTAGGTTTTCATGAGACTATTCCTATATGAACTGCACTTTGCCCTCCCAAGATGATACCTACCTTGTCACTACAAAACCCCTTGCACTTTATGCCTGCAAATTCTCCTTGTAATTCTAATATTCATCCTGAGAATAATGGCTAACAACTGATCTGTCACTAAATGTTGTTGAAAAATTAAACAACCCAAAACAAGCCATTTGAAAGTAATGAATTTTTTTTAATAAAAATTAGAAAATGGAAAACTGGAAAAAATAGCCAATTTTACAATAATTTGAAAGAACAGTACTTACCACGTTATACATAGCTATACTCCACCGTTCAAATAAGACTTGACCCGACCAGCCAGACATGGCTGCCCACCACAGCTCAATAACATACAGACATATATTTTTGTAAAAGCTATACAAGATAACTTTACAGAGACGGCTATAATTCCAGGCACCGTGCACAAACAGCAATCTTGCTAGAAAGCGAAACTGAAAGAAAAAACAAAATAATATAAACAGTACCGTAATTTTCAAGTTTTAATGAGTCTATAATATAATACATGACTGCTAAATGTTAGGAGAATGAGAGAGGGTGGTGTTACAAGGACAGTACTTTGATGTACAGAGCTTTTTACTGTGCCTAACATTGGTTTTGTTTAGTTTACTATTTTTCTTTGCAACTTGTTTGCAAAGAAATTGAATACTCGTTGTCTCACTTTGCTTGTTATTCCTTTGGACCTCAATGAACGTCATAGCACTCCATGGTCAGCTTTATCGAATACCTTTGCAAAATCCAAGTATATGACATAGACATTTAGTTTTATCATCCAATGCTTTCAATTTTGTCTTAATGGTTTAGTAATACAAAAAATAAAATCTTCTTGCTTTAAATCCCTGTTGACCTGGGTTGTACAGTTCTTTTTCCTCAATAAACCCTGTGTTGAATATAATGAAATGCCTTTTACAGAACTGAGCCCTGGTGGCTATCTGAAGCTATCTCACCGATATTTATTTGTTTATTAATGTAACCTATTTCTTCATTAATAAACTTTAAAACTATTAAAGTTTATTAATGTAAACTATTTCCCTAATAAATTATTTCTTTTCTAACATAATAAGGTGTTTTTTATTTGATCTCTTCCATCTCATATATTCCTTATGCACTGAATTTTAGACTTATCTTCAATATTTCATGTTCATATTCACACATACAAAGTTCCTATCACATTAAAAAAGTATTCGACATACAGAGCACCACTTGGTTTCCGAACCCCTTGGGGACGAGACCCGTCGGTTAACATGTAAGTTCGTATACGAGAAATAGAGGGGAAAAAATCAACTAGAAATGTAAAAAGAAATTTTTCCGAAAAAATTTACGAAAAAACTCTAGAGGAAAAAATCGACAGGTTCATAGCGTAAATGCGACTGTGTTTTGTTTGTACTCACCAATAAGTGAAGTCCTGATCCGCTTTATAAAAGTCCTTAATTGTTCCTAACTGATTATTAAGACGTCTGGCAAACATCCTCTGGATGTTTCCTGCCAGCCTGCAGGCACATCCTGCCTAAAATATACGATGATGTACTGTACATTTAAGAAACAAATCTGGGTCACAGGTCTGTGGAGTGTGGTTAGGCTTACGGAGTCAGCCAGTCCCTCCCCCACCACCGATACACCTCCCCCTCTCCCCCCACCCCAAACCCATACACACACACACACACTCAAAGGTCACCTGGTTCATGGTTCACTTCAACACCCATATATCGCTTCCTGCCTGCCTGCCTCCTTCCCAGCCTGCAAGCCTGCCTGCCTGCCTGCCTCCTTCCCAGCCTGCAAGCCTGCCTGCCTGCCTGCCTCCTTCCCAGCCTGCAAGCCTGCCTGCCTGCCTGCCTCCTTCCCAGCCTGCAAGCCTGCCTGCCTGCCTGCCTCCTTCCCAGCCTGCAAGTCTGCCTGCCTGCCTGCCTCCTTCCCAGCCTGCAAGCCTGCCTGCCTGCCTGCCTCCTTCCCAGCCTGCAAGCCTGCCTGCCTGCCTCCATCCCAGCCTGCAAGCCTGCCTGCCTCCATCCCAGCCTGCAAGCATGCCTGCCTGCCTGCCTCCTTCCCAGCCTGCAAGCCTGCCTGCCTCCTTCCCAGCCTGCAAGCCTGCCTGCCTCCTTCCCAGCCTGCAAGCCTGCCTGCCTGCCTGCCTCCTTCCCAGCCTGCAAGCCTGCCTGCCTCCTTCCCAGCCTGCAAGCCTGCCTGCCTGCCTGCCTCCTTCCCAGCCTGCAAGCCTGCCTGCCTCCTTCCCAGCCTGCAAGCCTGCCTGCCTGCCTGCCTCCTTCCCAGCCTGCAAGCCTGCCTGCCTGCCTGCCTCCTTCCCAGCCTGCATGCCTGCCTGCCTGCCTGCCTCCTTCCCAGCCTGCCTGCCTGCCTGCCTCCTTCCCAGCCTGCAAGCCTGCCTGCCTGCCTGCCTCCTTCCCAGCCTGCCTGCCTGCCTGCCTCCTTCCCAGCCTGCAAGCCTGCCTGCCTGCCTGCCTCCTTCCCAGCCTGCAAGCCTGCCTGTCTGCCTGCCTCCTTCCCAGCCTGCAAGCCTGCCTGCCTGCCTGCCTGCCTCCTTCCCAGCCTGCAAGCCTGCCTGCCTGCCTGCCTCCTTCCCAGCCTGCCTGCCTGCCTGCCTCCTTCCCAGCCTGCAAGCCTGCCTGCCTGCCTGCCTCCTTCCCAGCCTGCCTGCCTGCCTGCCTCCTTCCCAGCCTGCAAGCCTGCCTGCCTGCCTGCCTCCTTCCCAGCCTGCAAGCCTGCCTGCCTGCCTGCCTCCTTCCCAGCCTGCAAGCCTGCCTGCCTGCCTGCCTCCCTCCCAGCCTGCAAGCCTGCCTGTCTGCCTGCCTCCTTCCCAGCCTGCAAGCCTGCCTGCCTGCCTGCCTCCTTCCCAGCCTGCAAGCCTGCCTGCCTCCTTCCCAGCTTGCAAGCCTGCCTGCCTGCCTGCCTCCTTCCCAGCCTGCCTGCCTGCCTGCCTCCTTCCCAGCCTGCCAGCCTGCTTCCTTTCCAGCCAGCCTGCCTCCCTCCCTGCCATCATGCTAACGGGTAGTGTGTGTTAGGCTTATCTTCGGGAATGAGCCGGTCTCGCCCCCACCACCAACAAACCACCCGCCCCCCTACATCCCATCTCTCAAGGTCACGCGGTTCAACCGCGTGACTACCACTCACTCCCTGCTGCGCCTGCCTGCCTGCCTGTGCCTGCCTGCCTGTGCCTGCCTGCCTGTGCCTGCCTGCCTGTGCCTGCCAGCCTGCCTTTCCCTCCCTAATTCTCACTACTTCCATCCCTTCCTGCCTACCTCCTAGCATCTCTCCCTACCTCCCCCTCCCTCTTAGCATCTCTCCCTACCTCCTAACATCTCTCCCTACCTCCCCCTCCCTCCTAGCATCTCTCTCTCCCCCTCTCTCACTGATTCTCCCCCCCCCCTCATTCATACTGCCTCCCACCTAAACTCCATCGTCCATCCACCCACCAGTCAGCCATCACTGATGCAATGCGTGCATTTGGAGCCAACATGGTGCACAGATGTTTCTTGATTGTGCAGATATGTAAAACAAAAGCACAGAATGAACATTCCAGCCTTATGGCAATTCAAAATAATAGGAATAATAGGCCGTGAATCTGTGAAGTCACAGCGGGCAAACTGGACCATCGCCCACCCACCACCACAAGCCGGCGTGACGCTTGGTGGACCCCTTCCTACCCGAACTTTGTTCGGGTAGCATGACTCCCCAACCCCAATCGGGAAACTGGAAGTTTCGGATAACTAAAGTTCGGAAACCAAGTGGTGCTCTGTATCAAAATTCTCACCTGACCAATAGCATAGTCTGAGGCACAAGCAGCCTGAAGCCCTTCTAATCCAGCAATGCCAACACCAACATTGGCTTTCTGAATCATGGCCACATCGTTGGCTCCATCACCAATAGCAAGGGTGACCGAGCCCGTCTCACGAGTCAATAACTCCACTACCTTTAGAAACAGATGTAAAACGATTATTAGCAACGTATTATTGTTTATTACTGACTGTGACTATATTCTATACTAAAATATCGTATCAACATTATAAACTTTATAAATAAAAAATAAACTTGTTATTTTTTAAATTGCCTAGAACAGTTTTGCTAATGCTTGAGATATTGTACAAAAGAATAAAATAATAAAATAAAATATGGTACTAAAGTACTGTATAACTGCATTCTGCATATATATGTTAAAAAAGCTTAATCACTTTTCCTTAAATGTTTATGCTTTCTGTAATTTATTTTAAAAAATATTTGAATTGAATTTTTATGACATGCTGCTTTCTATATAGGCAAACAGTTGTCTTGTATCATTTGGGGTGAGAAAATAGCTAAACACTCTGCTATAAAAGAAAAAGGTAAAAAAGATCAAGCTCCAGTCCCAATTAGTTCACTTGAATGAGGCACTATCATATACAACATTGCCCCTTAGCTACCTCATGACTTGTAATCACTAGTAGTAGTATTAAATTAAATGAATATGTATAAACCATTAGGAAACTAACAATAAGCTGATATGGCAACAGAACTGAAATACTTACTTCCGCTTTTTGACTAGGAGACACTCTGCAACATATAACACTCTTGCAAGATATACATAAATCTAAGAAGTCCTTCCGTAAATCTGGTGTGAGGGCATACATTAGTGTCTTTCCGTCAATAATGAGGGCAGCCTCATTTTCTCGTTTCAGTTGCTCACCAAATTCGACAACGTGACGGTTAATAGCTTCCCGAGTTTCCTGGATTGAAGTTAAACAGTGAATGAACACAGATTGGAATAATATTAGTTAACATAGCATTATTAGTTAATCCACCATACCTGATCAACACAACAAGACTAACCCTTTTCATTAATTCTATTTAAATCTAGTATGCAAGTCATCAGACATCAGTGTGTCAGGCACACAAGTCGTCAAGCACACTTTCATCAGATCTTGTTAGGCACACTCTCATACTGATGATGACAATGATGAGAAATGTTACATTCAGTACTGAGTATGATGAGAGGCAACAATACAATACTCACATCCAGGGATTCAGTGTTGAGTATGATGAGAGGCATGCCCTGATTTAAGAGGTGGCATGAATGACCTATATTAATAGCCGTCTCTTGCTTGTCCCCAGTGAGGACCCACACGTGGATCCCTGCCTTGAGCAGTGCAGCTATAGTCTCTGGAACCTGCATCAAGTTAAGAAGCTAAATGTAAGTGGCACAATATGCATCTTGAGGACCATCAACTGATGTCACTTTAAAAATAAATTTAGAATAATGAATCATCCAAGCTGCATATCCATCATTACATATTCACTTGCATTACAATATTTTCTAATGTAATACAATTCCTTTTAGATATATTAAGTACAATATTTAAAAATAAAAATTACATTGTTATAAAAAACCAGCGTTGAATGTAATGAAACGCCATTTTCTGGGTGAGACCCGGAGGCTCCCCGGAGCTTTACCGGCTGATATGCTAATGTCAGACTTTGGCATCAGTCATGTGTATGGAGTTCTAGGGCCTACCGGGTACCACGGCCAGAACCTGGCCCCCTCAGAGAGGCAAGGGGAGCAATGGCCTATAGAAACCCCCGTGTGGTAGGAAGCATTCTATGTCTGCCATCGACCGGGTCAAGCATCCAGAAAGGTAAGCATTCCAAAACAAAAACCTATTCTGGTGAAAATTGCTACCTAAAGCCGAACTAGTGGATAAAACTCTTCAACAGAAAACAAGGAAACTAGTATGACGTCATATGTCATCGCGTCGCTGTCTGCGCAGCTCCCCCCTCTCCGGGAGGGGGAAGGGGGAGCCCCAGACCTCCCACGCCGGTTATCCACCCATCAGTTCTGAGGCTGGATGTCAAAACACGCGCAAAACACGTCCACTACCAACCTGACACGACTCAACTGTGCCCAGAAGAACCTGGGAGCACCGCCAGGGAAAGACGCCAGAGCCGGACCCTGCTGGACCCGCAGGAGAGCAGGGAGAGGCGAAGGAGGCGGCCCACACCCATGACACAGGGAAAACCGTGGTGTCCTCCCCACAACTGGGAACCAGGACACCCCTGGAGCGAAGGCGCACATACTGCAGCCAGGGGAAGAACGAGAGGCGAAGCACCGTAGCAAAAAGGGCGCAAAAACCAGCACAAACACTGCCCAGACCAAAACAAACTCCACGGCGCATGCGCATAACATGCTGGCCGAACCGCACAACCCTCTCTGCGGGAAGGCGACAACCAGGACTACTGCACTAGAAAAGTAGCCAAAAGAGGAAGCAGGAACAATAAAACCGGCCAAAGAACCAAAGAGCCCAAAAAGGAACTCAACCGGGCGACAAGTAGCCCAACAGGGCGACAAGTAGCCCAACAGAGCCAGGAGCCCAACCGGCTCACAAGTAGCCCAACCGGGACACCAGTAGCCCAAAACGGCGACAAGGACGAGGAGCCGACAGACGTTCCAATAATGCGGGAAGTAGCGAAAAACCTTCCCGTACCCTCGAGAACACAGAAGCCAACACTAGTCCCGAAGGCACACAAAGGCGCAGGCGCACCCGAGATCAGAAGTCACATAGAACCCCATCGCACGGGGAAACATGACGAAAACACCGTCCCAAAAAAGGGTGGGAGGAAACATCCACCCACAGGACGAAACGAACCGACTCAAAGGCCAAGGAACTGAGCCCGGGGAGGGGCCAACGCCCAACAGCACGTACGGCGAGTGGGGAGGAAAGACCCCACTCCGCGTAACCACAAGCCCTGCCTAGAGGGGGATAAAAACTCCCACGGGGTCCAACGGGGCCAAGGCCCCCCCAAGTCAGCCCCTCCCCAGCCTCGGGAACCTACACGACAGGCCCCGGGGCCGAGCCGTTCCCCCAAAGCCCCGGCCGAACCAGAAAACCGGGGCAGCCGTGAAAACACTAAGGAAGGGAGCCCATTGGCAGACTCATACAACACGGCTGGAGGAACAGGCTCAAATGCCCCCGTCACTACCCCGGAAGGGGAATTCCCCGAGACTGCCCGAGTCTCAACACCACCAAACACCCCGCCCCGAACCTACAGACGGTAAGGAACCGGATGCAGGCAGGAAGGGTGATCCAGGGAAAAGACAAGGGGGCGTGGATGGAACCGAAGCAACCAACACCCCCAAGACCCAAAATGAACTACAACAGGGCAGCCCCGGGGCTCCCGGGGAGGAAACCACGAGAACGTTGCCACCACCAAGGCTCAAGTGCAACGCCCCTGCTGCCCGCACCCGCTTTGTCAGCACAACTGGGTAACCGAGCCACAACGAGCAAACAAACTCGCAGGACTCCGGGTCGAAGGTGTCAACGACCCCACAGGCAGCACACGGAGGCAAAACAGAGAGTCACCCAGAGACAAAGGGTGAGAGCAACCCTCAAACTCGCTGGAAGCGAGGGGGAGACTCTGGGGTCACATCCATCGGACCTGCGTGCCCCCAGGGGTTTCCCAGGGTCCCGAGCGTTTACTATAGGAGGACTCGCGCTCAGGTAATCCCAGGCAGGGTACTGCTAACCGGCACCCAAAGCTACCAAACAACTTTCTAAGAGCTGAACCCCGGGATGTGTACACTCACAGGGACCTAGCAGGGGGTACCACCAGAAAATACTCAGAACACAAGGGACACAAGGGGCAAGAACGAAGGCAGACCCCCCCACCAGGTAGATAAACAAAAAGAAAAAGAAAACCCCGCAAGAGGACAGCGTACCCAAGCAGAACAGAGCCGGCCACTATGATTGGTAAAGACAAGCTGCACAGTACCCTGCGCCCCACCAGTGCAAAAAATGCCCCTTACTCTAAGGCGAACAAGGGAGACAGAACACCCGAGCACACAAAGAGCGGCCGAAAACCAAGCAGGGGCAGGACCCAAGGAACTTGTGGAAGGCTGCCCCAAGCCCCAAGGGCAGTACTTACAGGGCACCTAGGGAAGGGAACCCTAGGCGCATGCAGCCCGAGTACTGGAGAATCACTCCCGGCTCACGCACCACCTAGAAAACAGACACCACACTCTAGGTACAGTGCTGAAACAACCACTGGAGCCGGAGCACATAACCAGTGCCTATAGCATCGGCCGAAGAACTGATGGGTGGATAGCCGGCGTGGGAGGTCTGGGGCTCCCCCTTCCCCCTCCCGGGGAGGGGGGAGCTGCGCAGACAACGGCGCGGTGACGTATGACGTCATACTAGTTTCCTTGTTTTCTGTTGAAGAGTTTTATCCACTAGTTCGGCTTTAGGTAGCAATTTTCCCCAGAATAGGGGTTTGTTTTGGAATGCTTACCTTTCTGGATGCTTGACCCGGTCGATGGCAGACATAGAATGCTTCCTACCACACGGGGGTTTCTATAGGCCATTGCTCCCCTTGCCTCTCTGAGGGGGCCAGGTTCTGGCCGTGGTCCCCGGTAGGCCCTAGAACTCCATACACATGACTGATGCCAAAGTCTGACATTAGCATATCAGCCGGTAAAGCTCCGGGGAGCCGACGGGGCTTCCCCCAGAAAAAAAGTGAATAATGAAACCTCTTTCTGGGTGAGCTGCCGTGGCTCCCTAAAGTTATCTAGCCGAGGTAGTTCCCTACCATTACTAGGCTGCATCATCCACAGAGATTTGGCCCAGTTGGGCCTACTGGGGACCAGAGCTCGAACCCGGTCCCCTCACAGAGGTACAGTGTACCTGTATCACAGGGGTGAACACTGCCATTCCCACCAGGAAAGCATCAGAAAATCAAGAGTAGCCAATACAGACCATTGCTGGGGTCAAAAAGACCGAAGCATCCCGACTTCCAATTGAACTCTCCCTAACAATGTAAACGTCAGAGCACAAAATTGAATAAGAATCAAGTGATATACTGTACTTAAAGTTTATTTTGAACTTGAATGACTATGTAATTTAATACCATATTCAACCTAACAATGTACTGCGTACTTCAACAAACACGTACCTCATCCTGAAGTTTATCTTCTATTGCTGTCGCTCCTAATAATGTAAGATTGTTTTCTATTAGCTGAGCTGCATCTTCTATTTTTCTTTCTCTGAATTGTAGTGCTGTACTTGCCTTATAATAAGTATTTTTCCATTCCTGAAAAATATTACAGGAGTAGTAAATACAGTAAAGAAATCAAACATTTCCGCTGTTCTTCGAAGGTGCCCTTCAACTTCATATTAAAAAATACTTTATCTAATTGTCTTTTATCTTCTCAAGATATTTAATATAACATGAATGCACAATAAACAGAGATCCTGCCCAATTCAAGAATTGGGAATGAGGTTTAGAGTTCCACATCAAGTTACTGTACATACAAAATAAGCAATAATTAAAACCTCTCTTTGAAGCAACCAACAGACTGAAGCACAATCAAGTAATACTTGATGACATGAGACATGAGGCCACTAATAATAGTGGCCTCGATGAGGACAAGAAGCCGGCAGCTTATCAACCTCCCCCCCCATTTGCCCTGATGATCTTCTCCAACTGTATTTTAAAACCCAGCAGAGTTTTGGTGTTTATGGCATCAGCAGGTAGGTGATTCCATGGGTTTACAACCCTATGGGTGAAAAAGCACCTCCTGTTTTCTGTCCTACATTGTGGTTTGATGAGCTTGAACCCGTTGCTCCTCGTTTGTGTTGCATCTGACCTTTTGAAGAAATTGATAGGATCCACATCCTCCAAACCATTCAGTATTTTAACCCTTAAAGGGTGCAAATTGTATATGCTACCTGTATATACAATTTGAGTAAATGTCGTTGAATGGCGCACATCGTTTATATACAATGGAGGGTGCCGCGCACAATTTAAATATCCCATGGCTACACGGGGTTCGCATCAGCTTCCTCAGGGCTCTAGTAAACAGACGCCTTTTTTTTCTTTTTTTAAATCGTAGGTAACAGTCCCGGGTGTGAGAGCCTCAGTACTGAGTGAGCAACCGAGGATGACACACGCAGCATGAGCTAACAGCACTGCTGCTCATCTTGTGACCATAGCATTGCCTAAAAATGTAAAAATATACATGTAACTGCTATTATTTAGCAATGATAGTATTACAGAAGACCCCTGACTGATAAAAATGTCCAGGATTCTGATAATAGCAGGTTGCGGTGATAATTAGCACTGTGCATAGTATGGTGGGATATTTTAGAAATGTACTATTTATGCACACTAAAGTGATACAAATTTGTGACAAGAATGAGGATTCTCAGCAAGTATTCACTTAGTTGTATTCACCTAGATGTGCTTGCGGGGGTTGAGATATGCTCTTTCGGCCTGCCTCTCAACTGTCAATCGACTGCTACTAACTACTATTTTTTTTCCCACACCACACACACCCCCAGGAAGCAACCCGTGACAGCTGACTAACTCCCTGGTACCTATTTATTGCTAGGTAACAGGAGCATCAGGGTGAAAGAGAGACTGCCCATTGTTTCTCGCCTGCGCCCGAAATCGAACCCAGGACCACAGGATCACGCGTCCAGCGTGCTGTCCGCTCAGCCACCGACCGTAGTGGCGTGTGCATTAATGCATACATGCACATTTGTATGCACGTATGTATGCTTGTATTAGAATAATGTCTTTCAGAAGACTTTTCCAAACTAAAAGTATTAAGTTACTAATTTGTTAAATAATTAAGTTTCTATTGTGAAATAATGAAATGAGTGAATACCTCATAGAACACAGGCGAGATATCTGCAACAGCATAGCACAGGGTTCGGAGACCTTCTGCTGCAAACTCTTCCAGGTGTCTGACAGTTAAATCTCGAAACTGTTGACTATCACCAAGACGTTCATAGATTACCTGTTAAGTGAATTTATGACTACAATTATACAGAGGATATTGTAATGAAATCACAATGACATGAAATATCAATGAAAATCCTTTTGAGGAAATGTAGTGACTTGAAATTGATCAGATTTGTGATCTGACTGGGGCGTAAGAGTGTGTCTGCCATTACCGTAGGTGCCTTTGTACCTTTTCCGGTTTGTTGATGTGTTCCTTAAGATATGGCCACCAAATGACCACACAGTTTGCAACCCTAGTGTGGTCGGGTTGGCGGTAAAATCCTGGTTGGGCCCTGGTTTGGGGCCTCCAGAATCTACCAGAGAACTCATTAGAGTTTAGGGTTGTCAACTTTTGTATCACCGTGGCCGAGCGGTTAAGGCAGGCGTCTGGGAATCACCAGGTTGCGAGTTCAGGTCACTCCATTGCCTCAAAATGCTTTTCATACTGAGGATATGTTATGAAACAAAATAGTGCCTTAGGCTATGTGATTTATTACCTTATTCAGCAAGGCTTCATAACTCTCAAAACTTAATATAATTCAATGCTTAAAATGGTGAGAATAATTTTAATTCACCTTTCCCTTATTATATCCCAATATTAAAGAAATGTCCTGCAGTGATAGATTCATAAACTGTTATTTTGAATGGGATGCTAAATGAAAGGCTGTTTTTAACCCTTAAGCTGTGCAATACTTACAGAGGCGATGGGAGTAACCGTCACAGAATTGTGCACATCATACATAGGCAATTGAGGGTCCTGCGCATATGTTGCTGGACTGGTCAACACCCTGGTTGACCAGTCCAGCAACATAGAGGCCTGGTTGACAACCGGGCTGCGGGGACACTAAATCACGAAATTCTCTCAAGGTAACCAAGGTAACCTGGGCAACTTGCCTGAGGATTCTTGTTTCATACTCTTGCTGTTTCCAGAATTCAACCCTTTTTTCTGGTCTGGGGAGGGAAAAGGGTGTTTCAGAGGTCTTTCTATTTCTGTTGTGGCATTCTTGAAGTCTGAATTTGTTTCCTTGCAGTTCCCTACTTTATGGTTTAATGTTCATTACTTTCAGGTGCTTCCTGTTCTTCTTCAAGTAAGTTTATCAGCCTACCTTCAGAAATGCTCCTGGGCTACCTTCAGGACTTCTGGGAGTCACCCATCCTTGGTCACCTTGGCTGTCTGCAGCCCTCAGCTCTTGCAAGCCCTACTTATCTTTTTTGGGGGCTATTCCTTCTGGAAGGGTCTATGGGTTTCCAGTTTATTTATTGAGGGGGTTATTTAATTTTTGTTTCAGTTCATACGCATCATATTGAGTGGTCTTTTGATGGAGAACTGGCCCCTCATCTCCCACGACTCCTATCTTCACTCCCCAGCAAGTTGGCAAAACCAGTTGAAAAGCTACTTGTCACCCTGAGATATCAGTTGACAGAGCCTGATGGAGTCGACGAGTCACAATAATGTGGCTGAAAATATGATGACCAAACCACACATCAGAAAATGAAGAAATGACAACATTTAGATCCATCCTGGATCATTATCACGACTTGATAATGGGCCAGGATAGACAAAAACATTGTTATTTCTTAATTTTCTGATGTGTGGTTTGGTCATCAAAGCCTGATGGGAATATGGTTTCCTGGATGGACCTAGGTCCTGGCTCAGGCAGCAATTGAGAGGGTTACTCAGAAAAATAAACATTTCATAAACTCAATATCCAATTTTCATTAACAGCTTTGGATCATTTGAATAGCTCCAGGATTAGGATGTATGTGCTAAAACCACCAGAAATTTTACAAATTATTTATAAAAATAAACAAGAAAGCGGGAACACTTAGCCTAACCTGTACAGGCATACCTCAGAATAAGAGTTTAATCAGTTCCTGGAGACGCCTCGCCTTCCGAAAACTCGCATTCCGAAGTTAATTTCCCCATAAGAAATAAAGGGAAATGAATTAATCCGTTCCTGACTACCCCAAAAACCCCACATCAAACTAAATTTTTATACCTAATTTACCTAATTCATCTAAATAAACCTACAAAACTGTGTTCCAGTTATTACTTACCTTGCTGTCGAGTGCTGTAGGCGTATGGAAGATGGTGAGGAGGGGGGAGGAGGAGAGGAGTTACTGTTTGGAAGGGGAGTCCCCTTCCATAATCACATCACATAACCCCATGCCTTGTAACACTATGGATACCACTTCTCTTTCTAAATTTTTCAAACCAGCCCCTGCTTGCCTTAAACTCTTTCTTATCTGCATCACTCGTTGCAGGGGTATTCTTTAGAAGGTCTTCGTGCAACACCCTGGCTTTCTCACAAATAATGGCCTCCGAAACACTATCACCCCTCAACTCCTTGTCGTGTATCCAAATTAATAACAACTTTTCCACTTCTTCAAGTATTTGTTGTCTTTGTGCCGTTAATGTTCTTACTCCTTTTGCCACTTTAGCACCCATAATCTTATTTTTCTTCTTAAGTATAGTGCATATTGTTGATGTGGCTTTGTTGTACTGCCTACAAAGTTCAACAACACGTGTACCGTTCTCATGCTTCCGAATGATCTCTTGTTTCTCCTCTATTGTCATCCTCACATGAGCTTTCTGGCCTTTATCCTTACCACTGGCTTTCTTGGGACCCATGGTGAGATATATAATAACAAATTGTATAGACAAATCACCAAAAATCCAACAAAACACTGAAAATCCGCGAGAAGAATTGATGTGGGGGTAGTCACTGAGCGCGAGACAATGGTAAACTGAGGGGCGGCGGGGCGGAGGGGCGACGAACGCGCTAGGTCGGCTGTACGCGTATCAACAAACTCGCATCCAAACTCGCCTCCCGAAGTAACCCTCGCCTTCTGAGACAAATTTTTGGAGTAAATACACCTCGCCTTCCGAAAACCTCGCATACAGGGACAATCGCATTCCGAGGTACCACTGTATCTATAAATAACTACTTTTCTAAGCAACACTGCTATATAATACAGAATATCTTCATCACTCCTCCCACACTCTCAAGACTAAAGGTAGTAAAGTAAAAGTCAGACTTACTGTGTCAGCGCCTTTACAGTATAATTTGATTTGTCCTTGAGGTGTCTTCACAATAACACTCATACGTTTGCGGGCAGAGGTAAACTCCAGCACATTGAGGACTTCGTATTTTTCCTTGGATCCCAAGACATCAATGATACAAAACTCAGGCGTCCGAGTCTCAAACACGAAGCCCAATTCCCGAGCACCTTCTACTAGTGCTCTCTCATCTGTCAATATCAAGAATAATTTTGTTAACAAATAATTACAATAATAATCAAAACCTGTACAGTACTTTAATTTGATAAGCTTTCTAAACAGAAGAAAAAACCTTAGATAACCGACACAAAATACTTGAATACAAAAAAATCAGACATTACAAAACCTATTTGAACACAGCAACACACCATTACAGAACAATTTCAGTTTTTAAACTTAACATATAAACTATTGACACAATTCAGATAACGAATATTATTGTAAAGAATAAATACTAAAACATATACAAGTACTGTAAAGTGATACATGATATAAATACACCAGACAATATCTATAAAAAAATAGTTTAAATAAAAAAGTGGCAAGCAAGCTAAAGAAAAATATTAACATAACTGTAGGCAAGGAGGGACCCTACACTTTAACAACTACTGTATGCTAAATATAGTTCACAAATGAGTTATATAAACTGATAGGTTCTCTTGAAATTAAGCCATGCAGCAACAAATAAGAAAACAGAAATTAAAAATTTTCAAATGTTTATGAGAAAAGTTTCAGAAAGCAGTACAGAATATATCCAAGAAAAGTTTACAATGTGATTAGTGTGGAACTATGAAACTGATAAATATTTGGAAGACTTCAACTTATTTTAGAAAACTTGTGATGAGAGATTCAAGAATAAAAGAACAGGATACAAGAATATGATTAGTACACTAAAGATTAAAAAAAAAAACAGCGTTGAATGTAATGAAATGCCATTTTCCGGGTGAGCCCCGGAGGCTCCCTGGAGCCTGTTTGTGTCTCACGTGTGTCTTTCATTGCAGCAACATTATAAAGTTTCTTGTTGCTCCTTTCACTTATTTGTCTCTCCTTCATATTTCCTATACTTGCTTATCAGTGATATGGGAGAGTTAGATTATTTATTTATGCCAAGCCTTCTAGCCACTAATACTGGGTGCACTAATTACCTCTCTCAACATTATGAATTCAGGGACATGGGGACAATGCATGAAATCCTGACTGGGCTTCAGTGGAAGCCTTAGGACCTCTAGGGGATTCAGTTGAATCCTAAGTTGCATTAGTTTTGACCATGTCATGGTGTAGTGGTCTAAGGCATATGCTTGGCAGTACTCAGTGTGCAGGCTTGAATCCTCCTCATGGCTCCTACTAATTTTCTCGTTGATTCATCACACATTATGTAATTTTTCTTTTATATTAATGTTTTCATCAAATTTTTTTTTTCAAGTTGTGGATGTAATTGGCTTCAAGAAGATCTTCCTTCAATGCATTCCACTTGCCAACCACCTGTACAGCAAGAACTTCCTTATACTGTATCTCTTCAATGATATTGGAAGTCCAGCTTCCACCCATCTTCCCCCCCCCTCCCTATCCTACCTCTTTTTAATTTAAATAGGCTTCCTTTCTACACTATCTATTCCTCTCAAGATCTTGCATGAATACTTATGTTTCTTCTCTCATTTAAGATTGTGATGCCACAATCTCTCAGCCTGTCCCCTTGGCTGACACCTCTTAATTCTGATGTCCTCTGAACTTTCTAAAATTTATATTTATGCTTCCCAAGGTGTGGGTTCCATGTTGGAGCTGCATAGTCAATGGTCGCACAGAGTCTATGGACTTGAAAGCCTCCTCCTTTAGATTCTTAAATGACATAAGATTGGGGTTATTTATGCATAGCTCTTGCCATATTTTTCTAAGTGTTCATTTATTTTTTCTCATGCATTATTGTTTTGCTTTGCTTAACCCTTTGAGTTGATTTTCAAAATTTTGGGAATCTCCAATTCCCAAGGTTTCCTCATCTCGTAGAGAGCGCCTGAATATGTTCAAGCTTTCGGTAAGTCAGCATGGGTCTCAAGAGGTCTGGTGCGAATCCTAATTTTTTATTTGGTCTGGTGTGAATTTTTTTATACCAGCAGGTAAACACTGGGCACCTACTAAGCCTAACCCATAAAAATACAGAGCTAAAACAGAAGGAGAGACCATGCCCTTTACCTTTCCATATTGACAATCATGTCAGAAAATAAGGCTCACTCATCTATCACATGGCATGAGTACATGTAAAAATGTTACTACATAAAGTAAAATGACTTGACAAGAGCATATACATTACCTGGTGATGCAGCATGGTAAATGATGGCCCTTTCTCCCCGGGCATCATCTCTATCAGGAATGACAGTATGACATACAGCCAGCATGGTGAGGAATTGCTTTGCTACAGCTGCTCCTGTGCCTCCACCCTCTACCAGAGTAACCAAGTCTTGACAACTGTAGAACAGAATTAAGTATGTCGCTCATTCTAAGAGCCATGTATGGTGACTATGACAATGTGGCAAGGGTAAGCGTACTCTTTATTTATTTAAATATGAAAGCAATTGTCACCTTGTCAGACACCTCAGTAAATAATTAAATTTCAGTCATAGCTGAATAGCCAGGATATTAGCATCATATAATTTTAAATCAATTTAAACTGGTTATGTCTCATAGCCTCTTCTCCAAGGAAACCCTTTAATGTCTAAGCTAGTTTCCATCCATGTCAGACTAAGAACATTCAAGAAATTTTAGCCACAAACTTGATCATGTTGATCACATATAGTACTTATCCACATACACAGCATGGACATAATTTATTACCTAATTGGCTAATTAAAATATTAGATGAAACCTCTCTCTAGTATGTCCCATTATCTAAAAACCCATAACAAATATAAGAGAAGTTTTATTGATGTAGGGACTCCATACTCGGAGACACAAGTCAACAGGATGGCTCTATTATTAAGGAGAGTGAAGAGTGGAATTAAATGTCACTTCCAAGCGGCACCTAGGTAGTTCATGTTGAACTTTTGCACTGAACCCACCCAGGACCAGGATAGATCATCAAGTTATGAGCAACTTCAAGTCCCAGAAGGTCAAGTAGCTTTGCAAATTGCCTTGTCCCCCTTATTAAGGAGGTAAGGGTTCAGTGGAGAACACACCTTGATCATTTCTGGGAAAACCGATCACTGAGACACACATGATTATCACACACATATACAAAATTCTTAGAAAAATTGTCGAGGTAGATTTTTTTTTTTTCAAAGATATTCCTGCATGGGCTCTAAGCTTCTGGCAAGCCCACTAAGTGTTACTTGTTTCTGTTTTACTTAGGTGGAGTATGAGTACAGTATTTATGACTGGTATGGCCACTTCAGTAAGATTTTGCTGACTTTAACTTTGTTACTTTATTCCCAAAGTAACAGGTGAGTACAATAACTGAAATCATGGCAACTACATACGAAATCAATAGTCTTACCTTCCATCATCCATGCCGTATACAGTTCCACCTATGGTGCAGCGCTTGAATTCCATGATGTTACAAGTGAGCGTTCCGGTCTTATCAGAGAGGACATACTTTATCATGCCTAACTCCTCATTTAAGTTAGATGTTCTTGCCATGGCCCAAATGTTGTTCTCCTCGTAGTACATGTTAACATCATTGTTGATAAACCCTGCCTGTTGAACACCTTCAGGTAAGTCAAAGAAACTTATATTGAGCTATGTGACTACACCAACAACAATTAATGTAGCCAATAACAAAATGTGCTCTACTTCTTAAACTAATAACAAACATAAAATAGATAAAGCTGTTTTCTAACAAAAATTCATTGCAAGAGACGTAACAAGCTACTGGCAGGCAATTTTAAAGTTTTTTCTGGGAGGGTAATTCAGTAGCTCCCAGAAGCTGCAACCTGGATGCAACCAGGCCTTTGGTAGCACACCAGATCTAAGACCCCCCACCAATGCCAACCACAAGTCAGAACAATACTCTGGCCATTCAAAAAGGAATTTGGGGATCTAGGGATTATAGATCACCACAGAATTGAACAAAGATCCACTAGAAAGCACAAACACTCCAAAACATGGATGGTGGGGGGACTGGATGAATGGATGGTGGGGGGGGGGGAATGGATGGATGGGCGCCTGACAGCTGAGTGGACGGTGCTTCGGATTCGTAATCCTGAGGTTCCGGGTTCGATCCCCGGTGGAGGTGGAGAAAAATGGGCAAAATGATTCTTTCACCCTGATGCCCTTGTTACCTAGCAGTAAATAGGTACCTGAGAGTTAGACAGCTGCTACGGGCTGTTTCCTGGAGCTGTGTAACAAAAAGGAGGCCTGGTCGAGGACTGGGCCGCGGGAACGCCAAGCTCCGATATCATCTCAAGATAACCTCACAATAAGATGGTAGGGGACTGAACGATGGGGAAAATGGATGGATGGATGGTGGGGGAACTGGATGGATGGATGGTGAGGAGAAAGGGATGGTGGGGGAACGGGATGGTGGGGGAACGGGAAGGTGGGGAAATGGGATGGTGGGGAAAGGGATGGTGAGGGGAATGGGATGGATGGATGGTGGGGGGGGGGGGGGTACCAGATAGATGGCAGGTGAGTGTGACGGGAAGGCTAGTGGGAAGGAAGGGGAATACGGGAAAGAAAATCTTTTAGAAACACCAGCCCTAGAATCATGTAAGGAAAGAACACGTGGATCACGAGTGGGTGGGCAGGTGATAGAGTGAGTGGATGGATGAATAGCAAGGCAGATGGCAAAGTGGGTGGATAGGTGGGCAGCAGTGGTCGGACAGGTGTCAGTGTGTGTGCAGGCGAACAGTAGTGAGATGGCTGGCAGAGTGGACATAGTTGACATGCAGACAGCAGAACAAGTAAAGTGGCAGATGGTAGACCAAGGAAGTAGGTGGCAGGATGGGTAGAGCGGGTGAGTAGTAGGGTGGTCAGGAGACAGTGGGTTGGCAGGTGAGTAGCAGGACGGGTGGTCAGAGTGGGTGGGTAGCAGTGGGCAGGCAGGCAGTGGCATGAGTGGAGCAGCTTGCGACTAGGACTAACATAGGAGCTGGTTACCCCCAGTCCCTTCTCAAGACCCCCCTTCCTGCACACCGGACCCTCCCTGCACCTCCATCTCCTCATCCCCCACACTGGCCCCCACAGTTGTCCCCTCCCAGCAATTAATACGGTAGCTTCCTTGATACCAGCTGATAGATTGGGAGGCAGACTTCCTGACATTAAACTTATTGTTTGCTAACTGACTGCTTGCGACTGTGAAAGCCCGATTGACTGTGAATGCCTGATTGACACTGGATGCGTGACTGACCGTAGTTGCTTAACCGGTTGCTACCACAACCATGAATGCTTGACTGACATGTTGTGACTAACTGACTGTTTAACTGGCTGCCACATAACAGAAGTAATGAAATGTGTGAAAGGAAAATGTGGAACCAGTGATGCAGATATGAAAATGTTTAAGGCGTGCAGGGGACAGTCTCCCCACCTCTCCCCCTCCTCTTCACCCTCCCCATACACCAACACTGCTCCTCGCTCCCTCCTCCCTCCTCACAGTCTCCCATACTCCAACAAGAGTCCTCAGTAAAGGTAAAGTGCAGTTAAATGTTCATTTATTTTATTTATGGTTCATATTTATATCCGATTCTTTTGTGTATGAAAAATATGAGTAGTATTCTTTATAAAATGTATATTTTAAGTTGATATTTTTGGGTGTGTGGAATGGATTAATTAAATTTACATTATTTCTAATGGGAAAATTTGTTTCTGGTTGCAAATTTTTGGTTTACGAGCCACCTCTGGGAACGGATTAAATTAAAAAACCAAGGTACCACTGTATACTGTAATAATATTTTCCCGACAATAGTGTTAAAAAATATGAGACAAAATATAACATTGCAATAATCCAGTATTTTTCTTGTTGACTTACCATCTTTACACTGTCCAATAATGGATAATATACAATACATGATAAGTTTGGGAATACAATGATTTTATAACAGAAAATTTAAGCAATGAAAAACAAGGAGGAAATGCAAGCCAAAAATCCAAGTTCAGCAAAGTTCATGAAAATACTGTCAAAATTTCACACTAATATGAAAATCACACGATAAAATCCAGCATCAATGGATGAAACTTATATTTTATAATATAGTTTTGATGCACAGTGCCACCCTTGATCAGTTGAGAAAGGACAACTCGCTCAATTATAAGTCGTGCAATATATTATATTGCACGACACGATAAGAATAACAATATATTCTTAACTGAAGAGGATACCAGAGTGAACCACTGCTGTAATGAAATATAGCTTCATCCAACCCGGCCGGCGATCTTCTACCACAAAAAACCAGCGTTGAATGTAATGAAACGCCATTTTCTGGGCGAGACCCGGAGGCTCCCCGGAGCTTTACCGGCTGATATGCTAATGTCAGACTTTGGCATCAGTCATGTGTATGGAGTTCTAGGGCCTACCGGGGACCACGAGCCAGAACCTGGCCCCCTCAGAGAGGCAAGGGGAGCAATGGCCTATAGAAACCCCCGTGTGGTTGGAAGCATTCTATGTCTGCCATCGACCGGGTCAAGCATCCAGAAAGGTAAGCATTCCAAAACAAACCCCTATTCTGGTGAAAATTGCTACCTAAGCCGAACTAGTGGATAGAACTCTTCAACAGAAAACAAGGAAACTAGTATGACGTCATACGTCACCGCGCCGCTGTCTGCGCAGCTCCCCCCTCCCCAGGAGGGGGAAGGGGGAGCCCCAGACCTCCCACGCCGGCTATCCACCCACCAGTTCTGAGGCTGGATGTCAAAACACGCGAAAAACGCCGACCGGAGGGAGGGAGGGTTGCCGGGGAGCCTCCGGGTCTCACCCAGAAAATGGCGTTTCATTACATTCAACGCTGGTTTTCTGGGGGGAGCCCCGTCGGCTCCCCGGAGCTAACTACCCACAGAGGAAGGTCAAAGGGACAAAACCGGGAGGCGGACACCACGCACCCCCCAAGGAGGCGAGACAACTGGCAGCAAATGCCAACCCAAGGCGCCACAGCCCCGAAAATCCTGGGAACAACACGAGAACCACGAGCAGCAAGGCCCCTGCACGAACACCAAAAATCCATGCCCGAAAGACTGCAAGGCCACGTCGCCCAGATGGCAGCGAGAGCAGCGAAGCCACGAACGCCACAGGCATGAGGGAAGAACACAGGCAGCTTAGCCGCAAGAACACGGCTGACCACCTGGGACACCATCACCCGCGAACCGGGAAGAACAGAACCGGATCAACGCAAAACGCGCTCCGGACCCAAACGCCGTGGCACGCAAACAACAGCGGAGGGCCGCCACTGAACACACAAACGACACCCCCGGCCCGACCAACGAAGCACCAACAAACCCTGGACCCCTCCAGAATGCAGCAGCCCCACCCCGCGCCAGAAAAGATGGAGACTGCTGCCATCAAACAACCAAAACGCTAAAACCGAAGGAGCAAGAAAACTCAGCGAACCGACCCCCAGAGGCAAAGGCCCAAAGGAAAGAGCCGACGAAAAAACACACCGGAACCGAAGGGGCACTACCAACCGAGGAGAAGACAGAGCACGCTGACCAGAGACCAGGATGGTGCAAGCGGCGCACGAACAGGCCGGAGGTGAAACGACGCACAAGACAGCTGACTAACGGTGCAGAAGCAACACCAAGACCGAAAGCAAGCTGAAGCGGCTCCGCCTGCGCCGCACGAAAAGAGGCGACAGTATGTGGCAAGACGACGGCCCCCAACCCCCACTAGAAAACCAAGCCGAGAGTAAACCAAGCCAACAAGAGTAACCACCTAAGAAGGGACAGGAAAAGGAAGGACCGCCAAAATACCCCATACTGCCGCCAAGAGAAGCACGCAGGTGGGACACCTACCACGAAGCCACCCGACCACCAACCGGAGGCAAGACCACAAGGCAGAACATAAGCAGCCCTGACAAGGCCCCCCCGAGCCCAGGAAAAAGGCGGAGCCGCGAGAAGATCTCGGGCGCGACCACCGAAACCCAGGCGGCACAAGGAGATGGAACGTCTGCCGAACAGAAAAACTCCCCAAAGCATGCAAGCCCGCCAGGAGTTCAGAAACGACGGGTCCGACGCGAGACATCGCAAGAACCCCCCCCCCCCAAAAAAAAAAAAAAAAAAACGGCAGGGCAGGAAAACCAAAGAAGGCGGAAGGGTCGCCGCCAGAACAGGACCCGAACCAAGGGGCACAAACAACTGCAATAGACCGAGACAAATAAGCACATCACAGGACACAGGCTGACCAACGCCTAAGAAGACACGCAGAACATCCCTGCTGCAGAGGAGGCAGGAAGAAAGAGCAGAAGCACAAAAAACCCCAGGAGAACAACCAGGGGTGGACAATCAGGCAGGGACAAAAACCGCACGCAATCCCCAGGCACAAAACGGCAGCAAAGTGCCACTCCACAACCGGACACAGGAACAAGGACACGCCACCGTGAAACACGGTACCAATGCACACGTGCAGCAGCAGCAACTTGTAAAGAGCAACTCCCCTCTGCAAAGGCAGAGAACGGAGCAGGCAGACCCCAGACAGGGCCAACGGAGACACTACAAAAACCTTGCAGGCCCAGAAACCTGCACCAGGCGACCGACGGCGGAGAAACCCCGCTCGATACCTGCTGGATGAGGTACTGGGAGCTCTTTTACACCTGAAGCCCGGTCCAAGGCTAGGCCAGACCGGCCAGAGGATGGCCCACCAGGCAGCTGCTAGGAGCAGTCTACCGGCCCACATACCCCCACAACCAGGACGGGCCGGAACTGCCATACGAAAACAGGCCAGTGCGCCCCGGAAATCCACGGACGAACCAGCAAGAAGGCTTATGCTCGCAAGTAGGTCGTGTAACAAGCACAGACCACTGATGGTAATACAGTGTCCCCCAAAAGTGCCAATAGCACCACTGCACTCCACTGGTACTATCCCGCAAGTTCCACCAGATAGGCGGGACCCAAGAGCCAGAGCTCAAATCCTGCAAGCACAGCCAGGAGCCTCACCAGGTGAGTACAGAACCAACCCTACAACCCCCACACCTCACAACATTAAAAAGGGAGGGTCCCCTGAATGACACCAGCATGGGTTGGACATGCACATGAGGGGGGACAGGAAGGGGTGATAAGGGACAGTCACTGGTGTGCGAACGGTCTCAGTCGTACAAAATATACCTAAATAAAGACAGGTATAGAAACACCGCCGCATCCAGCGCCCGGCCAAAAGACGCCAGACTGCAGTAACTCACCTGGCGAATGGTGGCACGAACTTGACACGACTCAACCGTGCCCAGAAGAACTTGAGAGCACCGCCAGGTGAAGACGCCAGAGCCGGACCCTGCCGGACCCGCAGGAGAACAGGGAGAGGCGAAGGAGGCGGTCCACACCCATGACAGGGAAAACCGCGGTGTCCTCCCCACAACAGGGAACCAGGACACCCCCGGCGCGAAGGGGCACATACCGCAGCCAGGGAGAAGAACGAGAGGCGAAGCACTGTAGCAAAAAAGGGCGCAAAACCCCAGCACTGAAACACCGCCCAGACCAAAACAAACTCCACGGCGCATGCGCATAACACGCTGGCCGAACCGCACACCCTCCCTGCGGGAAGGCGCCAGCCAGGACTACTGCACGAGAAAAAGAAGCCAAAAGAGGAAGCAGGAACAAGAAAACCGGCCAAAGAAGCAAAGAGCCCAAAAAGGAATCCAACCGGGCGACAAGCAGCCCAACCGGGCGACAAGCAGCCCAACCGGGCGACAAGCAGCCCAACCGGGCGACAAGCAGCCCAACCGGGCGACAAGCAGCCCAACCGGGCGACAAGCAGCCCAACGGGCGACAAGCAGCCCAACCGGGCGACAAGCAGCCCAACCGGGCGACAAGCAGCCCAACCGGGCGACAAGCAGCCCAACCGGGCGACAAGCAGCCCAACCGGGCGACAAGCAGCCCAACCGGGCGACAAGCAGCCCAACCGGGCGACAAGCAGCCCAACCGGGCGACAAGCAGCCCAACCGGGCGACAAGCAGCCCAACCGGGCGACAAGCAGCCCAACCGGGCGACAAGCAGCCCAACCGGGCGACAAGCAGCCCAACCGGGCGACAAGCAGCCCAACAGGGCGACAAGTAGCCCAACAGGGCGACAAGTAGCCCAACAGGGCGACAAGTAGCCCAACAGGGCGACAAGTAGCCCAACAGGGCGACAAGTAGCCCAACAGGGCGACAAGTACGAGGAGCCGACAGACGTTCCAATAATGCGGGAAGTAGCGAAAAACCTTCCCGTACCCTCGAGAACACAGAAGCCAACACTAGTCCCGAAGGCACACGAAGGCGCAGGCGCACCCGAGATCAGAAGTCACGCAG